CTAGCCTGCAGTGAAAGGCAGGACTGAGGTCATGACAGCGGGGGTGGGGGTGAGGAAGCCTCAAAGAACCATAAGAATATTGTGTTTCCTCGGTGCTATACTGTGTGTCGGTTGACTCATCCCTTCCTTTTGACCCTTCTGTGAGGGGATGTCCTATTGTCTACAGATGGGTTTTGGGTTACTGCTCCAACCCTCCTCATTCTCAACAGTGTTTTTGTTTGCTTGTTTGGGGTCTTTTGGTGCCTGTTACCTGATCCCATCAACACCTCATGATTGAAAAGGCTGGTGTGCTTCTTCCATGTGGGTTTGTTGCTTCTCTGCTAGGTGGCCACTTGTTTAACTTCAAGCCTTTAAGACCCCAGATGCTGTATCTTTCGATAGCCAGGCACCATCCGCTTACTTCACCACATTTGCTTATGCACCCATTTTGTCTTCAGCACTTGTGCCAGCAGGTTGAGCATCACAGAATGGCCAGGTTGTTAGAACAAAATGTTCTTGCGTTGAGGGGGAGCTTGAGAAGAGGCCCAAAGTCCATCCATGTCCTCAAGGTAGTGCTATATAAATATATGTACATAGGCCAGTACTTCTATTTTTATGAATTTATATATATATTTAAATCATTGTATTGGGGGCTCAAACAACTGTTATCACAATCCATACATCCATCCATTATGTCAAGCACATTTGCATATTTGTTGCCATCATTTTCACAACAATATATTTATGTAAGTACACACCTTTGTTTATACCTCTTTCCATAGCTTTCCTTCCTAGAACTTTCCTGTTTCCTTTTGCCTTCCTTCTGCCCCACAATCACAGAGAGCTCACTTTTCAACTTCACAGCCTAGATTTACATTAAAAATATTAAATTATAAAGTCATGTGTATTCCAACAGTACAAGAATCTTGTCTACTAGACATCTCACACACATCCTAACATGTATTTTTTTTAAGTTTTAAAGTACTTTTATCAGGTTGTGTTATTACATTTGAAAGATTTTAGGGACAGTAGTAGGCTATGTTTCTCACTAGCAATAACATAATTAAAGATATTTCCTCTCTCCAATCTGCATTATGAAGTATTCAACTCTCGGCCAAAGAACAAATGAATTCCCAAGA